ACATGCCAAGAGGAACCAATTGGCCAAGTGGAACCAACAGGCCAAGAGGAACCAACCGGGTCAGAGGCCCCACAGGGCCAGAGGAACCAGCAGGGCCAGAGGAACCAACAGGCCAAGAGGAACCAGCTGGGCCAGAGGATCCAACCGGTTCAGAGGAACACACTGGGCCAGAAGAACCAACCGGTTCAGAGGAACACACTGGGCCAGAGAAACCAACAGGCCAAGAGGAGAAAACATGAGGTCCAGGTCAAAAGCAGGCACATCGGCTGAAAGAGGACATCTGTGGCCATGTTTTGAGACCTTTTGGTCCTGATCGGCCCTATGGTTTGGGCGAGAGAGGAAGGAGTTTTACTTTTTTTTCATTTTTCCCTCTGGAAAATTATAACCTGTGATGATGTCACCAGAGTGGAGAGGACAATTGGGGATTTTTCAGATTTTGACCAAAATGTAAATGTCTTTGCATAAGTTTTATCAGAGGTCATCGGGCCGAGCGATTAGGACAAGAAGTGAACTATGTTTTGGGCCAACATTTCCACCATTAATTTCCTGTGGGATGGTGTTTCATCTTTTTCGCTGATTATTTGAAAATGCCAGGACTAATGAAAGAGGGAAATACAAGCACGTGTCCAGTAGTAGGTTCAGACGCGCATGTATTTTTTGGGCCTGATCCGTCGAATCGTTTGGGACTAGTTAGCCGCCAAAATTTGTGACGGTAACGGGAGAACTATAATTCATGGAAACAGAACATTTCTAAAGAAATTTTGAAGAGGGTCCACCTACTGCTCGCTCCAGGAACATGGGCTTTAGACCTTTGGCCCTCTAACCTGGCCTGGGACCCCCTGGAAAGGTCAAAGGACTTACATGTGGGTTGTCTATGATGTTGGCTTGGATCTATAAGGGCTCCTGAAAGACAGAAACAAAGCACGGCCATTGGAGGAGACAGAGTGGGAGGGGCTGGCTGCACTCTGGGGCCTGCTGACCAGAAACCATGGGGCTGAGCAGGACCAAAGTCACGTTGCCTGAAAGCTGGGACATAGACCTACGCAATGATGTATGACAAGTCTGGGTTGAGCAAAAGGTGGCAAAGCTGTAGGTCAAAGAAAGTGACAGAACAGTACAATATAGAGGCGGGAAAGCCTCTGGGCCCGTTGGCGGGAAAACCGTGAGGTCCAGGTCAATGGCGAACACATCCACCCAAAGACGACGTCTGTGGCCATGTTTTGAGGCCTTTTTGGTCCCGTTTGGCGCTACAGTTTGGGAATGAGAGGAAGGAGTTTGGCCTTTTTGTGTCATTTTTCCCACTGGAAAGTCAGAGCCTGTGATGATGTCATTAGAGTGGAGAGGACATTTGGGGATTTTTCAGATTTTTCCCAAAATGTCACCAGTGATTGCGGCCAAACGGTGTGGTATCGGGTCTCGTGGCTCCAGTATTTTTTAGGCCCATCTCTCGTGACCCGTTTAATCTTCAAATGAGGTTTATCAGAGGTCATGGGGCCGAGCGATTAGGCCCTTAAGCAGCCTATGTTTTGGCCTTGTTTTTCTGCCCTCCCATTCATTTCCTATGGGACTGTGCTCCGCCTTTTTTTGCTGTTTATTTGAAAATGCCAGCACTAATGACAGAGAGAGATACCAGCACACTTCCTGTGGTAGGTTCAGATGTGGGGGTGTTTTTTGGGCCTGATCCCTCGAACCGTGTGGGACTAGTTAGGCGCCATAATTTGTGAAGGAAAGGGGAAAACTCTAAGTCGCGGAAATAGAAAATTTCTAAAGAAATTTTTAGGGGGGCCACCTACTGCCTGTTTACTACTACTACTTTTGAAGAGGGTCCATCTACCTCCCGCTCCAAGAACATGGGCTTTTGACCTTGAGATAAA